AGGATCCCATTGGCCTTCTTGGCCACAAGGGCACACTGCTGGCTCATGGTCAACTTGTTGTCCACCAGGACTCCCAGGTCCTTCTCTGCAGAGCTGCTTTCCAGCAGGTCAACCCCCAGCCTGTCCTGCTGCATGGGGTTATTCTTCCCCAGGTGCAGGACCCTGCACTTGCCTTTGTTGAACTTCAGGAGGTTCCTCTCCGCCCAGCTCTCCAGCCTGTCCAGGTCCCTCTGAATGGCAGCACGGTCTTCTGGTGTGTTAGCCTCTCCCCCCAGTTTAGTATCATCAGCAAACTTGCTGAGGGTGCACTCTGTGCCTTCCTCCAGGTCATTGATGAATACATTGAACAAGACTGGACCCAGGACTGAGCCCTGGGGGACACCACTAGCCACAGGCCTCCAACTTGACTCTGCGCCATTCACCACAACCCTCTGAGCTCGGCCATCCAGCCAGTTCTCAAGCCACCTCACTGTCCACTCATCTAGCCCACACTTCCTGAGTTTACCTAAGAGGATGTGATGGGAGATAGTGTCAAAAGCCTTGCTGAAGTCCAAGGAGACAACATCCACTGCTCTGCCCTCCTCTCCCCAGCCAGTCATTCCGTCATAGAAGGCTATCAGATTGGTCAAGCATGATTTCCCTTTGGTGAATCCATGCTGACTACTCCTGATCACCTTCTTGTCCTCCAGATGCTTAGTGATGACCTCCAGGAGGAGACTTGGCATTGCACGAATATGATTGCAGAAGCCTCCTACCCTTCTTGCTTTTACTTCTCAGTTTATTTTTCCCTTCTCTTACTGATTTGTCTTGGAGTCTGTCATTGACTTCATTGCCTTCATTTCACTGTTGTACCTATTTAAGAGAAAATTCATGGTTTTGAAGCAATACTGATGCTATGGTACTTGGTAGACATGCTGAAAAGCTTTAAACTAAGGAACTCTGTTGCTTCTCATGATGTGGCTGCTGATGGTGTACGCTTACTTAACTTCCCACAGGTTTTGAAGTTAGTACTGAACTTATGTGCATCTGTGGCAACAGGCTCTTAATACCTAGACTGCCGAATTGGAAACGGAGCCTGCAGTCACTACTCAGGCAAGATCCTTTTTGTTGTGCTGGAAATCACTATCCAAGTGTGGGGTAGAACTGGAAATCCAGCATGGGTTTGGTTTCTATTGCAATGACTTATTCCTAAAATGTCAGACATTTGAACTTAATTCTTTTGTTTCAGTCCATACAAATGCAGCTGCTCTCCATTCTTCAATGCTTAAGACAGGAGGGAGAAGTAGAGAGAAGAAGGAACCTTCTTCCCTCACAGATATGGTGCAAGGGCTGTGCCCCATTAACTATTTCGGGCTTTTGGAATATTTCTTATTTTGCTCCTCGGGACAAGCAGTGGCAGGTTTTAACATCTGGTTGCCAAGGGCTCTCTCTTCCTCTAGGGCAGAGAAGTCAGGCCCAGGGACATGGAGAGACAAGAGAGGCAACGTTTGGGGTTAGCCAAAGGGCACTTCTGGCTGATCAATGCCAAAGCACAGATCTGCAGGTCTGGGATGCCCGCATTTTATCTCCCATTCATGAAGCCACATGCAAGGCTTCAGGCAGGGCAGGGGGCTTTCCCAGTGTTACTCCAGGCGGGTTGTTTCTATTTTAGATAAACGCACACTTGAGTTGTGAACCTCTGCCCTTCTCCTGGGGGCTTGGACTAGACAAACATTCATTAGACTAGATAAATGCTCTTCAGACTATTTCAGGCTTCATACCATAATTGTATGTGATTCTAAATTCATCATGGGTCTATGTGCCTGTAGCATGCTGGGGCTGAGGGGGCCTGTGGGAGGTGTGCAGAGGCATGTGCTTGCACGTGTCCTTTGGGTAGCAGCAGCTACATCACAGGAGCAATTCTGTTGCTGTGTTTCCTTGCTATGTTTCATGTATATAGTTCTTGCATCACTGCGTACAGAAATGTTATCTCCTCCTCAAGCCAGGCCCAGCTTCTGGGTTAAAAGAGGTTTTTAAAGATCACTGTAACCTCATACAGCAGCCGAGAAGGGAGTTGGCGCTCACAGCTCCAAGTGGAGATAGGGTCTGCTCAAAAGACACTTATACTTCAGCTGTGCAGTTGAGGACCTTAAATTTGAAGTGGGCATTGATCAGCCAGAATAGAAATTTGCTTCCTGCACCTGAGACTGCAATTAAGAACAACTTAGGAGGATTTCCTTCAAGCTGCCTGGCAGTGATTATCTGTGCATATCTGAGGACTCAAACCGAAGGAAGAGCAGTTCTGTAAACTGAGATCATTTAGCAGTGGTGCTGAGCTGGAGTGGTTGTCCAGTGATTTCCAATAGATCTGTCTAGCTCAGAATCCAGTAAGGACAGTGGCCAAAAGCACCTGCCATGGGAAGAGTAGCAGATCAGGGCAAGCATATATGCAGTCTTCTCCTTTCACCTTAGTCTCAGCTGACAGCTTCATGCAATTCAGGGACATCCTGACCAACAAGTTATTCCTTTGCATTTAATAACTCTCAATAGATTTATTTTCCATAGCACTTGTGCAGTATCCCTGAGGAGCAAACTTACGTTCCTGGGGAGCAGTCAGCTGTAAGGGAATTTCATGTTTTTGCCCCCAAAAAAGAGCTGAAGCCAAGTACACACGATGTTGCCCTCCTACTCCCTCCACCCATGGCTCCCTGCAGCAGAAGTCTAAAATGTGGGATGATATTTCTTCCAGTCTCAGTAGAGCTCCAATACCCTGCCAAGCAAAGTCCTACAAATCAATCAAAATTTCCACAGTACTTCTAGCTTCCCTCTTGCCTCGCTGTCCCATAATATGTGGGTCCCACCTTGTTTATCCTGCATCTTTCCAAGGGAGCCAGTGTGAGGGCCCGCAGAGATCTTCCTGAGAACTGCTGGAGATATTTCCTGCTAAATGCTTTTCTGATCAAAAGTGTCAATGAAAAAAAGTAGAGCTGATTTCAATGACATTTCATGTGGAAAATGTATAGGTTTCTTATGTTTTTGAGTGAAGTCAGAAACTTCCCCTATAGATATTATTAGAACAGGACATTCAGTCTTACTTTTCCAGAGCAGCCTTTTATCTTGAAATGTGTTTCATCCCTGAGGATTTCAGACAGTGAGAAATTCCATTCCTTTTCTGATCCCGAAGACAATTCCCCAGCACAGAAATACTAATTTCTCTAGCTGCCACGTCTTCCCAGGCAGTTTAAGCAGACTGCATCTGAGGGCTGGGAAAAAGCAGAAACCCCTTACAGAGCTCAATGCTTAAAGGTCTTACTTCTTTGCGTTTTTGTAGTCACTTTGATCTTCAAAGATAGAGCAAGCCCCACGCCACAGTGCAGGCACAGGGCAAAAAGATCATCCTGGTCATGGAGTTTTAAAGTCTTACTGTACAATGAGAAGTGGATATAGATAGATGGGAGAGACCGGAAAATGAGGGCTTGGTGTCATGTCTGGAGGCAGAAAGAGCTAGGTGGTTCAAAGCCATCTCTGCACAGCTCTTCTGAAGGCTTACGGAACGGAAAACTGCCACAGGGGGGTTATTTCATAGCATAAACATAACCTTGCATTTCTCAGCCCTGCTTCTCCAGAGCATCTAATGAGAGCTCTTTGTGTGGGCTTGTTCTGAGCCTGTGCAGTGGTTCTGGATGTACTTGGACCCTTGACTTGGACTGACTCCAATCTATCACCCTCCTTAGGAGGGAAGCAACTGAGGGTTGCATGGCACATAAATCCTTCTCAGATTGGGAGTTAGGAAAATATCCTTGGGGCAGGAAGGGTAGTCCTGGGGAGGGGAAACAGTGTTTTACCCAATTATAGCTGATGCATATTCTCCATACATTACCAGCCAACCCTATCTGCATTTCTACCTTGCTGCAGGATGCTCAGCACAGAGCCATCTGCCTTGGGCTAGGGCAGCCTTTGCTCCCAGTTCTGTGGGCCTCTGCAGCCCCCTCCTTGGCAAGGGGAACGCCTGGGACCATGTTCCTGGCAGGATAAACACATCCCCGGGCATTTCCCTCACACAGTGAGGTCATACCATGTTACTGGATGGGTGGGATGATCTTTAGACCAATCCTCAGTAGAGGAGGTTCTTGGCAGGGGACGTCAGAGTGTAGCTCCACGGTCACTAAAAAGCCGGTTGTTTTTTGGCAAGAAAGGAGCGTTGCTGCAAGGATGATCTCTTCTTGTCTGTCGTGTGCAACAGGCACTTAATCTAATTGGTCTTTTAGTGTAAAGAACGATCATCAGTAGAGCTGTCCTAAGTCCAGCGTCAGAGGAGACAAAGCAAAGTCCAGAGTTCATCCATCAACCATCCATTTCCTTTTCAACCGATGCTGTCGGCTCTTTGGATCTGAAACCCAAAGGTCGTTAGAGTTCGTGCATTTTTAAAGACCCACCTCCTGGAGTCCTGTGATTCTCAGACACTCTCAGCTGAGGTTTAGCAACAATCCACACATTTCTAACCCTTCTCATTTGAAGGAAAACAATCTTCTGAAAATGCATATGCACTATATGAGCTCAAAAATCTGTAAGTAAATAAAAAACCCCTGAGATTTAATATTGTATTGTTATTTATAATCATCATTTATATTTTTATTATCTTGTTTAATTCAATGGACTCATAGTTTTTTCAGTTAGAGATTGTAGCAATATTTGTACATTCCCCTGGTAAATACAGGAATTACATTGTAGTCTCTCTGATATGGCTGGCCAGCATTCACTAAATTATGTTGAACTGATAAATGACATTTTCTTTAGTGTCTTGTATGGAGCTCATCACAGAGTGTCTATGTTTAGTTACACAGAAATAACATCCCGAGGGTGCAGTTTCGTGGAATAAGTGGTTTATTGAGCTCCAGCACTAGGGAAACCTGGTTTAGTATGGATTTGTGTCTTGCAACTGATTGATATCGGTGTCTAATAAAAATTCCTGTAGTTGATATATTATTCAATCTCTCTCTTGTGGGTTGATTCTCTGGTGCCTGATGAAGGATTAGGCTGAAAGGGCAGGCCCTTTGCTTAGTGGAGTCCCTAAGCAAGCTGTTTTTCCCTTACCCGGTTGCCTGATTTTTCAAGAACTGGTAGCAATGTATTATTTCTGCATCATCTAACTGGGAGAAGAAACAGCACACAGAGAAACAGACCCAGACACTGCGGAGTTTGTTTCTGTATAAAGGCAGGCTGGAATAAACCTAGAAAATGAATATACTGTTCTCATTCCACTGGTTTCAGGCTCTTTCACAAGGTAAGCTTTTCGTGAGTTTTTAATGAGATCAAAAATGTTCCTTTTGCAAAAAGACATCCCTTCCCTCTGCCTGTGTCCAGAGGGAACCCGCATGCACGCACACGTCCCTCCACACCCTTCTCCATTGTGTTTGCCCTTGAAGAATGTAAAGGGAGGGAGGACAAGCAATGAAACAGAGCGATTTCCCTTTTTTCCAGTTACCCCTTTTTTGTGTTACACCCTCCTCCCTTCCTGAGTACGTGGGTTTTTCCCATGTGTGCATTATGTAGGCCTGAAGCTGTGCCAAGCCCCAATGCGTGTCAAAGCCTGCCTTGTTCCTAAATGTACCTTGGGAACTGGGAACGACCTCATTTTCTATTTTCTCCTGGAATCTCTTCCCTGCTTGGAGGTGATATGAAACCTGACATATTTAAAAAAAAAAAAATCCCCAGACAGGCAGAAAACCATCTTTACCCACGTGAAAGTGTAGGAGGAGAGTCAACGAGGTGCAGGTCTGTGCCCAGGGCAGCTGGTTTTGCAGCCAGTCTCTCTGTTGTGCCTGGAGGAGGGCAGGTGAATCATGGTCTGGCTGTTTTGTGGGGCAGTGGGTGTCCTAAGGCAGGGTTGGAGGGTGACAAACCATGCCCTAGGGTCCCATTCCTCATTGCTTGGGTCAGCTTTGGTCACTGTCACCTGCCTCAGTCTCCCTGTCAGCCTGCACAGCAGCCTCCCTGCAGAAACATCCCATCAGAGCTGTTGCTGCTCTTGCACTAGCTCGAGCTTGCTGATGGAGATTAGAGCAATGTGCATCCAGGATGTAGGAAGAAAATGGCCTCTGGCAAAATCCAGCCTCTTCCTAGCAGCGGCAGGACCCCAGGACTCACTGAGGGCTCAGCATGTCTCCCCCATCCCTCCAACTCATTGCTAGTGTGTCTGTCCACACTTCCCCATGGAACCCAATGACTAAAGTTCAGCCCTTGGTTTGGATGAGACAGCACCATGGCACCACCTCTTTCAGCCCTTGTCAATGAATGTTGCCTCCTCCATTAACAGCAGAGGGAATTGCAAAGCCGCGTCATGACACGTAGCAGAGGACAGAGCCTGCCTAGAGGTTTATTCAGCTGCTTTTTCTGCTGGCTGGCAAGAAAACAGCAACGCCTTTATTTCACAGGCCATCTGACTCCAGTCTTGCCAGGTGGAAGGACTGCCCCAGCCGTTCCCCAGAAGCGGCAGGGTCTCACTCAAGACATGCCACAGAGGATACAGCAGATGTCTGAGCTCCTGGTGACCCAGGACTGCCTAGTGGAATTTGTTCTATTGGCAGCACGTCCTGGGAATTCATGCCAAGAGCAGATTTTCCACCTCCAGCATCTAAACTTTGTGACACCAGCTGGGCCATTTGCCCAAGATAAGTTGAAATTTGCTCAACTTTCGAGAGAGCAGAGGGACATTTCCCTACGTCCCCAGACATGCATACCTGCTGGTGACCCCCTCGGTTCCTTGGTTGGCAGGAGAGTGAGAGCAGTGAGATCCACATTGTGTGGAAATGGTTGTGCCTTGGTTCTTGGGGAGGCACTGCAGCCTGGTCCAGATAGTGCATCTATGCAAAAGTCCAGGTCAGTCTGGAGGGATCTGACTCTGCAGTGATTGTAATGGAGATACAGCCACCATGGCAAAGAGGGGCGTGGCTGAGAAGGGCAATTACACAATGCAGAGGAGGAAAAAGGCGTGGTAGGGCTGGGAACCCAAGGGCATCTCACATAGGGATGCAGCAGGAGTTGAAAGACAAGGGGATTTTGGAAAATCATTCTGCAGTCATCTCAGTCCATAGCCCCTAAGCCATTGTTTGGAAGCTGGGACCCGCCACTGTTGGCTCACCCATGGTGTTGGGCTGAGAAACAGACCGCCCTCCTTTTGGGACTCAGCCATGAAGTTGCAGATGTGACCCCTGGTGCACCTCAGTTTTCTGCTTCCTTTGGCAGAAACACTGGAACAGGGGTCTGCTGCTTGTCCCCAGGCTGGGGCTTTTTCCATCCCTCCTGTGTCCCTCTCCCTAAATCATTCAGTACTCAGTGGACTACCTAAATAGGCCAAGTGGAGAAGGGGTGAAGACCCTAAGCAGCTTGGGCATTGGACAGTCCGGGAGTCAGCAACAGCTGAAATGGGTCTGCCTTTGGGATCCTGGAGGAGGGAGCAAGGAGGCGAGGGGAAGACATGACCTTTGGTTGCTGGCCCCTAACCTGGCATTTTGAATTTCCCCCAAAATGCTGTCTAGACAGAACATGAGGAGCTGAGCCCTCTCCAGGTCTTCTGGGCCTTGCAGCGAGAAGAATGCCACTAACAACAGTGGTGACGTTGCCAGCAGCGGTAGTCTAGGAAGTCAAAACCTAAACACTCTCCTGATGTTTTGCAGATACTACCAAGACGTTTCTGTTCATTGCTCTGGCCAATGTTTCTGCCTTCCTTCATGACGGCTTTTTTTCCGGGGCTAGCAATTAGATATTTGGTGAGCTCAGGACATGAGCTATTTGGGCACTGGTTTCTAAAACCCTTCATAGTGCTGCCACTTGCCGTGCCACAGGAAAAAGCATCTCTGTCTCTTCCAAGACACACTAGTGACTTCCCATTGAGTGTGTCACAGCTTTATTTGTTATGAGGCCAGGACAGGGGTCTCCGTCCCCGCCGAGGTGGCTGTTGAAGTGGAAAGTTTAATTTAAGGCTTGACTTGTCTTCTCCCAGGAAGGCATTAATTAATTAGCTCTTTCTTTGGCTAGGAGGTGGAAGAGGACACGGTGAACGCTGCTGCTGATGCAGGCATGGGAGACACTTGGCCACGCATCGACTGCCAGGATTTGGGGCATGGATGGAGCAAGCGATGCTGCTAGAGCAGAAGTCTTTGCTTGGTGGAGGAGTAAAGGCCTTTCCGTGGCTAAATCTGGTGTCAGAGATACAGCTGGCTCTGTATTTGCCCCAGATTTCTTGTGTGTCCCCAGAATTTGCTTACGGAGTGATTTCAGAGCAGTGGGGAGAGGCAGGGCAATTGCCTCCACCCTTAGACAGCCAACCTGGGTCAAATGAGCTGATTTATGTTGCTGCATCCTCTCCTGTCCCTATCCTGGATTTGGGAGGCCTTGTGCATGCTGTATTGCAGGGGCTGACGACGCAGGGCAAAACTTTTCTTCTTAAAGGAATGTGATGGTTGCATACAAACTGGGCTATACGTGTTTCTGTGACACCAGCTCTTCCCTCTCTCCCCTTCCCAGCTTTTCAAAGCAAATACTATCACTGTTTTCATTGCCTTTTTTTTTCCTGTCCATCAGTGGGTGGATCAGCATTTCAGTGCAAATCCAGCTGCTGATAGATGACATTACACTGTAATGTGAGCAATGGAGTTACTCTGCAATGCAATGCATTTTTTTTTTCATCTGTTCTTCTTCCCTTTTTATCCCTTTCCCAGCTCAGACATTCCCTGCTGCTGGTTGGAGAAGTCAATCTCCAGGGTCTGTGTGCATGTGGGGAGGGGGGGGTCTCTGATACTGCCTCCGTGCATGGTGATAACTCAGGGATAACCATGGTCACATGGTGGCTCTCATGACACCTAAAGAGTCCAGAGTCACACAAAGCACTGTCAGGAGAAAGCGAGTACCACACTGCTGCTGAGCCTCCGTTAGCTGCCAGGAGAGGTTACCAGCATGGCCCCAGGCATGGAGAGAGGAGATTTCCTGCCCTGAGCTATGTATGGTGCTTTGGAAACCCACATGGCACCATAAGTAGAAGGACAGAATGGGAAGTTTAGGGAGAGAAAGAAGAAAGTGGTCGCTGGAATAAATCCCAAAGTTATTAAAACTTTGTGAGTGAACCAAATCTCTCCTGAGAAGCCCAGATTCAGGCAGGGTTGGCAAGGAATGCAGCCCAGTGGCCTGCAAGGGGGATTGCAAGGGGCCAGGCACTGCTCTTTCAGATTTTTTTTTTTTTTTAAAGGATTGGAAATCTGGCCATTCCCCATTACTCCTCCCTTTCCCCAAACTCCAATGCCATTGGCTTTTTTAAATCGAGTTCCTAAGGAAACGAAGCATATGTGCCCAACTGGCTGGCTGCCTGCCTGCCCATCGGCGCTCCCCCAGCAATAAATGAATTCAGTGAGCAATGTCAGCCAGGTTGAACCAAGGGCTAGAGATGCCAGGCCTGTAGAAATTTTGGGGCAAAGGCGACTGGAAGGAGCAAGGCTCCTGCACTGAGGGAGAGGCCACAGGGTGAGCTGAACCCTGTATTAGACACCAGAGAAGCCGCTCCCCAGCCAAGACCTCTCTCCACCACCCTGAAACACGGGCCTGTCTTGCCATCTACTGGTGAGAGCTCGGCAGAGGCAGCTGGAGCAGAGCAGAGGACAGGCAGGAGAAGAAGTTGCGGGGGGGCTCAGCCCCACTCGGAGATCCTGTCCCTCCGCTGACAGCCCCACAGGGAACACGCCTGCTCTGGAGGGAATCGAGCACAACCTTGCAAGCAGCATTATTCTTGCTTTCCAGAAGGCTTTCACTGCTCCGGTAGTCTACTAATACCCCACTTAAACATACTCCTGGCTGCTCCTTGCCTCTTTATCCTGGTGGTAGCATTGCCCCTCACCTAAACCTCCCTCAGGCTAGCTGCACTACAGCCACCTCCCTGCTCTGTCCCCTGTTTTGCTCAGGGATGCTCCCTTCCCCAGTTCTTCCCCTCTGCACCTCTCCCAGTTTCTCCTCCTTGGACACGGAGGTCACGAAGGTGAACCATAGGCAGCCTGGGGGTTAATGGCTTTTTAGTGGGCCAGCAGGCTGCAAAACAGCGGGCCTATTCCACTGACCCCAGGAGAGACCTCGGGGTGGCAAATGGGGCTTCGAGAAGGAAGAGGAGTTCTCCCAGCTGCAAATCCCTGATGCACCAGAGAAACACATGTGTGGGGGAAAGCTCGCCCTATGCTAGGTCTGTGGGATAGGGGTATAGCCTATATGCATGCTAGGCACTGCACTGGGGAGTGCTTGGTTTGACTCAGTGTGCTTCAAGTTTTTTTGGTTTTTTTTTGGATAGAAGCTGTGCCCAAATGCCAATTTCTTCTTAAAAGGTTTCCGTGCTGTGGATGAGCCACCACCAACCTGAATTTTTAGGGATGTCTGAGCCACTCAGAGGTTTGGCTTACATCTCTTAGTGTGTTCATGCTGGAGGTCCATAGCTGATGCATGTAGAGCGATCCTCCCCCTCCCCCACCCCACCCCAATTCCTTCCAGCATTTGAGAGGATTTTTGGAATAGGAAAAGGTGTCAGGAGGGGGAGCCAGAGCCTCAGTCTGGGCAGGGACCTGGGCTCCCTGTTCAGCTCTCAAAGCAGAGGGTCAGAGGGGCTGTTTCCCTTAAAACATAAAAGAAAACATGGGTGGAAGTCTGTGGCTTTGCCACATAAGCATGGCCAGAGAAACTCCCTTCGGGCCTTCATCCCTGAGCAAGAGTCTAGGAAGAGCCCAGCAAATATGGATTTGCAGTGACTCTGCAAAGGACCTTTGAGGTGTCTTCGGGTGGAAAAGGATTTCTGTGGGCCTGGTTGACCCATGCTGAGCTGGGCTGGCCCTGCTTGTGCCCCCCTATAACAGACCTACAAAGGCTCTCCCGTATCTCCTAGTCCAGCCCCAAATTTAGGCGGCTCCTAGAGCTGCTGGAAGGGGCTGGCTCTGCCTCTCTATGGTGCACCCTGCAAGTGGACAGCAGCCACCACCCTTTTGAAGCTGGTCTCAGTGGCATTTGAGGATGCTCAGAGTAGGCCCAGCACATCAGGTTTTTCAGGGCCCTTTCAAGACGCTTAATTTTTGGAGAGTCATCCTCAAAAATAGTCTGAACAAAGGCACCCTGTGAGACAGCAGGTTTAATCCCTACCAGAGTTTTGCTTTGAATTTTAATTATATTGAGTTCTGCAAGGACTGTGTGGTTTAGGAGGGATTTTTCTTTGCTCCCTCTCCTGCGGTGTTAGGAACCTAGGTGTCAGTCAAATCGACTTCTGGGCCCCTAAATACTTTCTGGGTTAGACTTTCTTTCCTGGGGTTTTGCCAGGTTGCCTGAATTTGTTTTCTAGTCCTTAACGTACATGGGCTTATGCATGTAGGGTAATTTACAGGATGAGCGGGTGCCAGAGCAGATCTCTGCTGCCTTCCAGTGGTTAGCAGCTGATTGGCTGGTGTGACCTGGAAGCCACAGGAACTGCTCACCATGATAGTCAGTAGAAATGGGCCCAGGAGCCCTTTGCAACCTGGCTGGGGACAGATGGGCAAGAAGGATGTGGGCAAGAGTTTTGCTTTTCAAGGGGGAGAGAAAAAGGCAGAGCTCTGTCATCTCAAAAGTTCATCAGAACTCACCTAATAGCAAGAAAAACATAAGAACATGGCAGTGGCCCCCTGGCTTTGGGTGTTCGAAACAAGGCAGAAGGAAGGGTGGGGGTGCATAGCAGGTGAATAATATGCAGGGCACTCTTGAGTCTTGCAAAGCTGTCAGAGATACAAGCGCAGGAACTGTGTGCTAGAGCCCATCTTCCAGTGCACAGCAGTGGCTGATGGATCCTCCAGTGAGTCCTGCTCTTCCTCATCCTCTCAAAGTCCCACTCATAGCCCCTCTCCCAGGTCTGTAGCCTCTAATCACCTGAACTTTGACCTTATCTTAGAATAGTTAGCCTGAAAAAAATCTTTCTTTTCACTAAGGTCCATCTCTATGCTCAGGGCAGTGGAGAGAGTTATGGACAGAAGGAGAGCTATAGCAGCAGGCATCGCTTTTAATGACAGCATGATATCCTGTGTGTTTGTCCAGTGCTCTGCCACCCCCAGCCCCGGGGCAGAGTGGTGTTGGGTGCTTCTGCAGCTGAGCAAGCGCTGTCCTGCATCTCATCTCCAGCTCAGTTTCAGAGCTTTCTGAATTATTGATGGCCCTAATGCATTAGTCTATAATTAGCTCTCCAGACCTTTTCCCAGTGGGCTGGAGCTAGGAATATGTTTTCTTTCTTTCTGTGGCTTTTTTTCTGGCTTGAGCTGATCGGGAAGGGAGGAGGGGAGCAAGGGATGTCCAGGGACCTTGTGGAAGGGGAACATCTGCAGGTTTGGCAAGCGACCCCTGAGGCATTGCCTGAGCTCAAAGGCTTCCCCAAGCCAGAGCCACAGGGAGGGTCAGGAAGGGCTTCAGACACCTGGGACTGTCTGAGAGAAGAGCGGCTGGGGGCATTACATACTGGCAGGGAATGAGGTCTGGAGACAGCCAGGGCTGTCCGAGGGGTCTTCAGCCTAGCTTGTATGGGGTGGAAGTCCTTGTTTGGAGAGCCGGGAGAAGGCAGGAGGTCCTGCATTACACTTTGGGGCCTCCTTAGCAGTGGTCCTGGGGGGTCTACAGGTCAGAGGGAGAAAACCACTAAGCCCCAGCGCCTAAGAGAAAGCCCATCTAAAGTGGGCAGAGGACTGTGTTTATATATAGGGGGATACAGAAAATGCTAGGTTAGATGTACAGATTTAAATACAGGTGGCAAAGGGGCTCTGCTGCTAGCGAAGAGCAGTTCAGGATCTGGGTGGGTTCTGCCTAAGGGCTATTCATAAAGAGTCTAAAAATGACTTCCAGCTTTTAGATGGTTTCCAGGAGGTTCGGGTGCATTAAATGCTCATTTCTCAAAGCTGTAAGTCCCAATCAACAGAGGAACACAAATATTCTATGGTTTCAAGGTTAGAGGCAGTAGCACTCAAGTTTAACTCTATATAGTGCTTTTCTGAAAGACAGACTGCTTGAGTTGCAGCAAGCGGCTACAGCAGAGATGGAGAAGAGTGTGACGGATACCTGCAAACTGTCTCAGCTCCCCCAGCCCCACTTCGGAAGCTCTGCAGTTATGCTGGACACGTTTTGTTTAAAGTGGACAAGGATTAGACATTCTTGTAAAGGGAAAGGCTGAGCAGCAAGCACGACATTCCCACTACTCCAGGCTGCTTTGCTGTCCCTTTTGAGATGCTGGGGGAGCAGTTCATGCGAGTGCCCCTGAACCAGTGCCTGGTGCTATCAGCCAGGTGAACTGGAGAAGTGGGTCTATCTACATGAACAGCAAGGGGACCCCCACCGTGGGATGCAAACCAGAAATAGGGATGCTGTTCAATAAGCCATTTTGCAGGTGCAGCTCATGGAAAGAGATCCCTGCAGTAGCTAGGCTCGGGGCTGCATGAGGACCTTCCCTTTACAGTCCGAGGTCCCCCTTTTTCAACTAGTTGAAACTCCACCACACGGTGCCAGTGGGAAGGAACAGATATATGAGGATGAGGTGCTGGGGTTGCAAGATGAGCTGTGTGATTGAGTCTGAGGAACCTGAGTTCCCCTTCCAGGCCTCTGAGTCTGTGGTCGTCACAGACCCAACCAAGCAGGGCACAAATCTTCCCGAGAGCCCTTCCTGCAAAAGCCTCACATGTGGCACAGAGATCAGCCATACTCAGGAGCAGGAAGGACTCAGGATAAGATTTGTGTTGTTGCTGCCCATGCTTGGCTGGGTCTGGGGACGATCACAGAATAGAAGGGCTGGAAGGAGAGCTCCCATTTCCACCCTGTTGCTCCAAGGTAGGATCACTCCACCTGCACTATTCCTGGCAGGTGCTTCTGTGACCTGTTCTTAAAAATATCTAGGGATGGAGATTATGGGATTCCTGTTTGGAATGAGCCCTCTTGTGAGACACCCTGTCCCAACCTCTAATGCTACTTCCAGGGACTTGTCATTGCCACAGGACTGGCCACCCAGGGAGGTGCAGCAGGCTGAAGAGAGGCAAGGGAAGGACCTGATTCGTTGACAAGGAGGAGGTGACTTGGTGAGTTGTCCTAAAGAACCTCCAAAAGTCTTTGGCACCCACTTTCTGGGCCACAGCATGGTGAAAGGGGCTTTGCCTCAGAGAAAGGCTGATGCCAGGGCCAGCCTGGCCTATGCGGGATGGGGAACAACATGCTGAGGACCGCTGTTGTCCAAAAGGGCACATCCTACATTCCCCTCAGCTTCACGAGGACTTCAGCACAGAGATCTGGGTAAGACTCTTCAAACAGCCACAAACACACTCCAGCAGGAAACTGCATCTATTTTTAGCATATTTTCATACTTTATGGCAGAGCTTAACCCATGGTTTTTCTCTTGCACAAGGCAGGCTGAAGTGAAAGGCAGTTTGCCTTCCCTCCACCTCTGTGGAGGACCCTGCCCCGATCCTGTCTGCTCAGAGATCCCTCACTCAGCATTAGGAGATCTCTGCAAACCTCTTGATGCCCAGTACTGAAAAGTCTCAGAGACCAACACGGCCCACGCCACACTAGACTTTCTTCCTGTAAGTACTTGCCTAAAGATACACATTAAACATGTATTTAAGCACATTTCATAGAAAATTATCCCTTTTTGAGTATCCTGGAATAATTAAAGAGTTGACTTAGTTTCAGCTGTGGGGGAAAGGCAGTACTGGAGCCACCCTAAGGCTGCAGGCAGACTCAGAGCTGTGTTCACACAGTATATAAAAGCTCAGAGGGACAGCGTGGTCTAGTGAATGAAGTGCTGGGGGAGTGGCACAAGAGGGAGCTAACGCCTGCTGGGGGAATGTAAGTAAATCACAGGTCAGTGCCTCAGTTTTCCCTGCTGCAGAAGGGGCTAATATTGCTCTCTTTGAGATCTCCAGTAAGACCTGCATGAACAAAAAGCCCTATTCACTGCCATGCTGGCACTATTCCTATTAACTGGTGTCTGAGACATGACACTGTCTATTGGGGCCCACCAAGCAATGTGAGGGCCCAGCTCTGAACCTGATCACCCATTCTGTTATGGGCTCGGGTTTGGCCCAGAACAAGTTGTCTCAGCAAGTCTCAGCAGGTCGAGGGAGGTGATGCTGCCCCTCTCCTCAGCCCTGGGGAGGCCACACCTGGAGTACTGTGTCCAATTCTGGGCTCCCCACTACAAGAGAGACATGGCACTCCTGGAGAAAGTCCAGGAAAGGGCTACAAAGATGATGAGGGGCCTGGAGCATCTCTCCTCTGAAGAAAGACTGCAAGAGCTGGGTCTGTTCAGCCTGGAGAAGAGAAGACTGAGAGGCGATCTGATCAATGTGTACAAGTATCTGAAGGGGGAGTGTCAAGA